TCATAAAGCTAACAAAGATCCTTCTTCAAGATTACCAGTGATACATTTCGCTCTGGAAAGTCCTCTGATACAATATTATAGTTGGTGAATATAGTTGGATGGCTATATCAAGGCTCTGAAAACAAACCCAGCTCTCAGAGAAAATATAAAAAATAAAGGAAAAGAAAAACACATATAGATCCATTTATCACTAGTAGGATTGCTTAGCTATCACATATTTCCATAGAAGTCCACTGGGAAGAATCGCCACCATTTATTCATTGGCCGCTCCACCTGAAGCAGCTAGCTGAAGCCTTGTAATGATTCCAGCCAATAGGAACTAATATTCCCAATCCGGACTAACAAAACAATAGGAAAACCTAGTCTAAAGTGGCTATCGACGCATTCCATGAAGCTGATAGGATTGCAATGTACACATACAAGCGCTGCTAACTCCTCTCATAAATTTCCTACGGATGTCCATGACAAATAATCATAAACAGAAAAATTGTCCTGCTGTAATTCTTCGAGTCAGTTGAGTAATATTCTATGCGTGTTGACAACGGTCAAGTTGATGTTCATGTCTAGAAAGAAAACTAATGTCGCACAAATTGCTTTCTAAGGGCTCTAGCAATTCTTGCTCACACTTACCAGTCTCCATATCCGTATCAGGGCCTTCAAAAATTTGGCTTTGGAAAGATACAGGGGCAACACTTTCGTAGTGTCCATACTTGTGTTCATCCTTCACCCAGTCAGTCTTATAGCATTGAACCAGTTCATTAAGATGCGGCCATTGCTCTAGGTTGTCGTCAAGCTGGAAAAGAAGGTAAACACAGATGTCAAGCATTCCATATCGAGTTCGAGTGAGCAATCAGACATATCACAATAAGCATAAACCAAGCACGCCTAGTCAAACTAAAAACAACACGAAACTTACAGTTAGACCCAGTACAACTGAAACCGTAAACTACCAAATCCCGTAACGGGAAAGGAGATGCCCAATGCTACAACACCATTCACTAGCAAAGGTGAAGAATTTTGTTGTTATCGGAAAATGACTAAGAACAGTGGGTTTAGTCCAAATTTAACAAAATTCATGATACTCTCCCCATATTTAAAAATTAATAGCATTATTATTAGTACCAGAAATATGAAAGATTCGCAACGACTTACCAAGGGCTCCATTCTGAGATGAGCAAGAGACTGATGAGGTATTTTACGGAAGCGCTGCCCGCCATTGTTGTTACTGTAGCTATCCATCTCCACCCAGAAATGCCCCAAGGGTACCAACCGCCCTCTTTGAGCTACCAAACACAAAAGCAAAAAAGTAGCTAACTCGATCTGATCAATGCAGTTCACTACAGCAAAATATCGCGCATTCCCAGATCTGGAACGCATAGCAAAGTAAAATAGCGCGGCCGACGAGGGGAGGGAAGTGAGTCAGTGAGCGGAATGAATCAAAAAGCATTACCTGAGAACGATGAAGGAAGTCAGGAACCAACCAATTCAACAATGGAGAAAGGAGGTCGTGGGGAAGAAATGAAAAAACAACATTTCTGCTGGGGAAACCAGAGGGAAGTGGAGCTGAAGAAGCAACAACCCTAGAAATTTGTTAGATAGAGCGTGCCAGAGAACCCAAGTCAAAATGAGTCATACTCAACTATCTCCAACTCAAAGCTCAACCGCCCCCAACTCCACAAATGACAGAGATGAGAGGAAACGGAGAAGGTACTCAACCACTCTCAACTAACGACTACGCTGTTAAAACGTTATTTTCTTTCCCATTCTCAGTTAACTTCTGACTTCTGAGTGACAACTTCATCCCTAATCCATTCCCTCGCATTATTAGAAAGAATTAGAATTTAGAAGTCAAAACTCCGATCCGGCTGCTTAGGAGAAACCCTTGCTATCAGAACCGGAGTGGACCACCGGCTCGACCGGCGAAATCACCAAATTGTTACGCTCGGTTCATTTGGTTGGACAGTTAGGAATGGACGAGCGGGTTTTAACGGTTAAATATAAAATGAAATGAACCACTTTGATTTGATTGATATGCTGATTCATTATTATAATCACAAAAATTTTAGAAAAATACATTAAGGCCTTGTTTTTTTTTTATGAATTTGGTGATGTATTTTGTCCACAAAATCCATCCATCATGGACTTTCATCAAAGTCTATTGTTTGCTTCATGGAATTGGAGGTTTGAAATCCGTGGGACTTATAGACTTTGATGGTTCAAATCCGTGGACCCCACGGACTTGCAAATTCCAACTCTTGAGGTAGGATTTGGGTTAGGGAAACAAATCAATGATAGTATTTACTCATGTACCCCACACATATTTTTAATTACCAAGCTACCCTTCCATTTTCTTTGTACAAAAACAAAATCGGTACACAATGAAAACGAATCAAAAGAAGCAACTAATTTTGCGATTGTATAATTGTTTTAACGATAAGAATGTTTATAAGGACGAAACTAATATTAATTAGTTTGTTGTCCTTATTTCACGAGTGAACAAGTGTTAGTTATGAGAGGAAAAGAAGGCAACTCATATGATATCATAATTTTGTGTGCCTTCCATATTAATGATTTTTGTTAGTCATGCGAGTCTAGTATGTATATGTAAGTAGTTTGAATGTTCATGACTTTCATGTAAGTGGTTCACGTATAGACAAATAATTAAAGTAAGGGTAATAAGGTAAAATATGTTTTATACCCACACATACAATTCAACAAAATTCATCATGAAATCCAACAAACAAACAATGGTTTGGTTCAAATCCATAATGAATCAATTCAATCATCAATCCATGGTTTTATAAAACCCAAGTTTTAACCAAAACCTTCATTTTTCAAATCCATCAAGTAAAGGAGCCCTAAAAGCGGCATTCAAATAGTTGTCCTCAGCGGCGGATCCAGAACACAGAAGTGCACTGGGCCGCATTTTATTAGAAAATTAGAATAGTAAAAAATATAATGATTATAATTTTTTTACAATGTAAATTGTACACGACGGTATTTTAATTTAGCGAATGCATTAATAATGGAGTCCACATCCATACCAATAGTATACATTGTTTCAAATAAAATACTTGAGCAATCGACTAGAAATCCATCGCTCATTTTGTTGCGCAAATCAATTTTCACATGTTTCGTTGTTAAAAAGGTTCTATTCGTATTAGCTGTTGAAACGAGCAGCATCAACACTAGACAAATCAATCTACTAATCAATTTGCATTGTGTTTCCATCCCTATATCCACCAGCTACTCTAGTAAATTTTCCAAGGTAACAAACCTCATATATGTTTTAGTCTTTTACGTTTTAAATTTTTTGAATTTTTAGGTTTCATTATTTTTTTAGACGAATAACCTTTGGGGTTAGAATTTATAAGCTAATTTTAGAGTAGTGATTTTTAATATGTTCATCTGAATTATTTTTCTAATTATACCCAATCTTATTTTAAAATAACAGCGACCCGAATATCTAAAATCGAAAAATTCATAAGGCCTATACTAACTATGAATCCAGAGGAGGGCTGGGCCGGGGCCCGGGGTGGCCACCCCTGAATCCGCCACTGGTTGTCCTTAACTATACTTTTAGATATTCACAAATAAATTATTCCGAGTAAAACAATTTGCTTGTTCAAGAAAAAAATGAGTCAATCAGTTTGCTTATGTATTTGGGAAAACAATTCACCACCAAAATCCATCAACAAAACAACGCTGGTCAAACATTACACAAATTTGTTTTTCTTAGTGTAAAGCATTACACAAATTGAAATCTCAACCAGATTTCTAACTTTTAAACACATGTGGTTTTGGTTCATGCCTTCCATGATTAGTAAAATGTTAAAAGTGTGTACTCAATGCAAATTAAGGCTCGGTTTGGCAAATATCATCGTTGGTTTTCAACATCGAGATTTCATAATTGAGAAGGAAGTGAGGTTTTGCGAGGTGGAAGGCGGAGTGCTGGAGAGGAGAAGGAAGGAAGCGAAGAGGAAGGAGAAGAAGGTCTTGGACGCCATTGGCGACTGTTTGTTTCTATCTGTGGACTGAGGTGGAGGTTGGGCTTTAATGGCGGGGTTTGGAAGTTGGAAATTCTGGTTGTGGAGTCTTCACAGTCTTCAGCTGGTTTCAGGCTCAGCAGTAGCAGCCAGCTGGGTTGACCGCTGACTTATTGACTTCGGCCCAGATGGTCTTTGCTCTTCCCGTGCTGATTTTCTTTGTTCTCTAGCTGCTAATGAAAATCCAAGGTGATTTTCATTATGAAATCCAAGGACCAAGGTCGGCCAACAGAATATTATTTTATATCGTTGTTGCTAGTTGTCGTAAACCTTACCCATCCTCTCGTCCCTAGAAAAATGCTTGCTCTTTCTGTAGCACATAGCTAAGAGGGCTGCTTTTCCTATCGATTATTATTGAATTCTTCGCCTAGGAAGAGTAAAAAATAACATTCAAGATCTAGAGCATAAAAAAATCGGACTGGAAAAAAGTACAGAAATGACAATCCAAATAGAAAACTAGGAACACTAAGTCGATAAATTGTATTTAGTTATATAGAACGGATGAATCACGATTTTAATATAAAATATTTTATTGTGGACCTTTTTTATATGATTTTATTTTATAATCCTTGCATAAAATTGATTAGCAGATCAAATGGATCAATCCAATTAACATTCCCGGACGAGTTGCTGTAAGAACATTTTCCGGTGCAAACAAATATAGATGAAAATGAACTTTGCAAGAAAGAGAAACAACAAATATAAAAAAGGATGTGCATAGAAAAACTTGGTTTAACTTCTTGTAACGAACTAACTTTTGATGAAACGATTCAAATTTCGGTGTGATTAGAGATGATAATGGATCCCGAATCCAATCAAATTGGGCAAAAAACTGGTGGTGGCTGATTGAACTTGAGTTACAGTAATACTCGAATTTGACACTTTAAAATTGTATAGGATACAAATTGCTCACATAACTTATATACGAGTCCTTACACCAACCAATCAATCTGCATCGTTGATTCCAACTAAAATCTGTGTGATATAGTATGATCCATTTAGGTATGTACTCATGAATATTCATATGAGCAGGATAGTCAGATTGCTCACACATAGCGCGATCTCAATTAGGAATGACAACGAGACATGTTTAGGACGGGTATCTCGGTACCTATACTATCCCCACAACAGGTCGGGTACATGTAAGATAATTTATCATAAGGAATGAGTCGGGACAGGTCGACCCATATGTGTATTTAGTTTAAAAGGAAACCATAAGAATTATTCATTTGCCATTGAAAAACAAAGAAACAAACTATAATACGATAATCGGTAGTTAAATTAATTGAGAAATTGAGGTTCTCACCTATTTACAATTTCAGTAGAGTTAAAATACGAGGTAATAAAAGCAAAATTCTAAGTAGTTTGAGTAAAATTACATGTAATTTAGGCAGAAAAACAGATGGAGAATGAGAGTATGAGACGAGTCAAGACAAGTCAGAGCGAAAAGAATAACCATGCCAAACTTGCCTATGAAATGAGTATTTCTCGCCCAAAATAAATCAAATGAAACGGGTTAGGTCGAAATTGTAATTCCTCGAATTGAACGAACTGGAAACGTTTCGGTGGTGGGCTGAAAGAGTGAAAGGATTTTGTTTTTCATTGATGGGCTTTTATTACGGCGATGGTTCAGCCCAGCCCAGCCCATCAGAATGTTCAAACCCACAAAACAAAGTACAGCATCGTCTTTCTACGTATTATTATTAGCTATTAGAAATACATACGAGACAGCTCAGGCCCGCATGCCAAATTGTTTATTCCCTCCTTCCTCCTCCCCTGTTTTGGAGCAAAGCATGGGGAGGAGCAAAGACAAATCTCGAGCTCATTCAGTCTCCTCCTATTCACTACTCCACGCTTCAGCCTTGGGGAATGGAGATCACACAGTTCACTTTAATCCTTCCCCTTACTTTCTTTCTCTCATTATTGTTACCACTCCTCTCTTAGACTCTTACCACTACTAATCTCCCACTAATTAATTCTCATTTGCTTCTTCTTCCCTTCTTTCCTCCTCTGTAGTTCAGCCCTCTCTACTGCTAATTCATCTCTCTCCTCCTTCCTTCCTTCCTCTTCCTTTCTTTCTTCTTCTCTCCTGAGCCACAGCCACCCTAAATTTACTAGCGGGTAACCAAGAGCTCTAAGCAGTAAGCAGAGCCCCATTTATTGCATTTTCCCCTTTTCTTGACTACCTCTCTGTTTCAGAGAAAACTGCCCCCAATCTCAGCTTTCTTCCTTTTATAGACAATCAATCAATCTGGTTTTGCCTATTCAACTCAACCATACCCATTTACCCACAACATGCGTTTGTCCCTCTGCATGTGTTCCTCTGTACTTTGAGCAAGAGAGAAAGAGAGAAAGATTCAAGAAAGGAGAAAGGGGGGAGCTTGTTTCTGGGTATTGGTTCTTTCTTGCTTTCTGGGTGTGGTTCTGTAAGAAAAGATGGGGGCGAGTGCGCAGCTGCAGCAGCAACTCAGCCACATCCACAACCAGCACCTGCTGAAGGTGTACGAGAAGCAAATAGGGCCCAAGAGAGCATTTTTCTCTGTTCAGGCGTACAGGCATTGGCTCTCCAAGGCATTCGTGGCGTGGGTCTTGGGGACTTGCTGCATCGCTCTCTGGATTTACAATTACATGGACGAGGACAGCAAATTGAGGAGGAAAGAGTTGCTGGAGAGCATGTGCGACCAAAGGGCTAGAATGTTGCAGGATCAGTTCATCGTCAGTGTGAATCATGTCCATGCCCTTGCCATCCTTGTTTCCTCTTTCCATTACTTCAAGAACCCTTCTGCCATTGACCAGGTTTTCTTTTCTTTCCTTTCCTTTCTTCCCTTCTTTTTGATTAAATTGGTCTTCTTTCCTCTCCTTTCCAATTTTCCACTTCATTTGCTTTGTTCCCCTAAATGTGAAATTGTATGTTCATTAATGTATCCGTACCAGATTTTCTGGGTTTGAAACCAGAAAGTTGAATTGAAGAAAGGAGAAAAGAAAAGGACTTTGGTATTCTTTTTGGTGTTTTCTGCTGTATAGTGGTTGTTTGGTTCCCTAGAAAATAGGGGGTAAAAAGATATGGAGCGGATTTGGGAAATCTCCCTGTACTGATATGTTGCTTGTAAAGTCAGAAATGTCCTCCCCCATGGTCAACCATTTGGTTTTGGACCAGCGGGAGGGACGAAGAACGGGACAAAATAATATACGTTCCCATGTCATGATGTGAACTTCGTTTGATATTTGTAATTAATTTTCCCACCAGGCAACGTTTGCTGAGTACACTGCCAGAACAGCATTTGAACGGCCATTGCTGAGTGGGGTCGCTTATGCAGAAAGGGTGCCCAATTCTGAGAGGGAAGAATTTGAGAGGAAGCATGGTTGGACCATCAAGACAATGCAAAGGGAGGCTTCCCCCATTCGTGATGAGTATGCACCAGTCATATTGTCTCAAGAAACTGTCTCTTACATTCAGTCCATCGATATGATGTCCGGGGAGGTAAAAGTCGGATTAGCATTTCGGCTTTTGTGTTGGCAAGGTTCCCTTTCCTGCTAATTTTGTTATGGTTGGAAGTTCTTAATCCTGTGTACTTCAACGTTGTTATCCAGGAGGACAGAGATAACATACTACGAGCTCGGTCCACAGGGACAGCCGTGATTACAGGTCCTTTCAGGTTGCTTGGATCCCATCATCTCGGTGTAGTGTTGACATTCCCGGTTTACAAGTCCAAGCTCCCCCCATCTTCCACAGAACAGCAGCGTATCGAAGCAACTGCAGGGTAACTGCTAATACTGGCCTTTCTATTAGAGCTGCTACTTTACAGTTGGGCTAGTTGTATGACACATATGAATGCTTGACCTGGAAACAGATATCTTGGTGGTGCATTTGATGTGGAGTCCCTAGTGGAGAACTTGCTTGGACAACTAGCTGGGAATCAAGCGATTCTGGTGAATGTTTATGATGTGACCAACTCATCCGATCCGTTGATCATGTATGGTCATGAGGATCAGGCAGGTGACATGTCACTTGTTCTTGAGAGTAAACTTGATTTTCGGGATCCATTTAGAAGGCATAAGATGGTTTGCAGGTCAGTTGCATCATCCACATCTTTAAAGCTTTTGATGACTAATTGTCATTTTGGAAGCTCCGAAGTTTCAGCTTTATGAACGGTTTTTGTGAACATTTTTTCGCAGATATCATGACGATGCGCCATGGAATTCGTCAGCAATCGTCACAACAATATTATTCAGCATGACGGGTATATTAGTTGGCTACATCTTGTATGGTGCAGGAAACCACATTGTGAGAATTGAGGATGAAAGAAATGAAATGGAGGAGCTAAAAAGCCGAGCTGAAGCTGCTGATGTTGCCAAATCACAGGTAATGTTCGAGATCGTGTCCCTTCTGATCAACCATTGTTCATTAACTATTGGTAACGACTAACGTGTCTTGACCACCTTGGACTCTCTGAAACTTTTTTTATGGCAGTTTCTGGCTACAGTATCACATGAAATCAGAACTCCAATGAACGGCGTCCTGGGTAATTATATTAAAAGACATTCTGTTTTCTCTCTAAAGATGGAAAAGGAAGCTTTGCTCTTCTCATGCTTAAAACTTAGCTCCTCTGTGAAAATCTTCTTTTCTATGGCTGCAGGAATGCTTGCCTTGCTGCTGGATACTGATCTTAGCTCGACTCAGAGAGACTATGCTCAAACAGCACAAGCTTGTGGAAAGGCACTGATAACCTTGATAAACGAGGTGCTAGACCGAGCCAAAATCGAAGCTGGAAAGTTAGACCTGGAAACTGTCCCATTCGACCTTCGATCTGTAGTAGATGATGTCCTTTCTTTATTCTCAGAGAAGTCTAGGAACAAAGGCATAGAGGTTTGTGTTTGACTTGGTATTCTTAATTAAAAAGTTTATTTATGCTTCATTTATACCAAATTCAGTATGCTAGTGCTTGCAATGTTCAATCTGGCATTGTTTTTCACTCTTTTTTTTTTTTTTTGGAACAGTTGGCTGTGTTTGTTTCAGATAACGTTCCAGAGTTAGTTGTTGGCGATCCTGGGAGATTCAGACAGGTCATTACAAATCTTGTTGGGAACTCTGTGAAGGTAATTAATTAATTGCTTTGATCATTCCACATTTTAACTGCTTATATGTGGCTCTGGGATGGTTTTGGTGAGAAGATCACACTATCATGAATAATCTCTCAAAGATTCTATTTAGGCTTTCATGCTTCTTTTTGGATATATATTCATTGCGAAAGTTGCATTGATCTAACTTAAAATGTTCTGCACAGTTCACTGAACGAGGACATATATTCCTCAGAGTTCATCTAGAGGAGCATGCCAAGGCTGTCACAGACTCAAAAGCCAACATCAGTAGTACTTTGAATGACGAAGAATCCGACGAAAGCATGCTCTTGTCTGGCTCTCAACAATCCACAACCTTAAGTGGTTCAGAGGCTGCCGACGAGTGGGACAGTTGGGACACATTCAAGTACTTTGTCGCCGAAGAAGGGTTCACAATGAATGGTTCATCAAATGGAGGAACATCTTATGAAGAAGCAACTGGGAATGTCATTACTTTGAGAGTTTGCGTGGAAGACACCGGCATTGGAATCCCTTTGACGGCCCAGGACCGTGTTTTCATGCCATTCATGCAGGCAGACAGTTCAACGTCGAGAACCTATGGAGGAACGGGGATTGGTTTAAGTATCAGCAAGTGTTTGGTTGAACTAATGGGTGGGCAGATCAAGTTTGTCAGCCGCCCTCATGTTGGGAGTACCTTCACGTTCACAGCGGTTCTAGGGAGGTGTGAGAAAAATGCTGTCAACAAGACGGAGAAAAAACGAAATGCCGAAGACCTGCCTTCTAGCTTTAAAGGACTGAAGGTAGTGATAGTAGATGCTAAACCGGTGAGGGCTGCGGTTACCCGGTACCACCTGAAGAGGCTTGGCATTGTAGTTGAAGTTGCTAGTAGCGTCAAGGTGGCAGCTAATACGCTTGCGCCTGGGTAAGTCTTTTCTTGATATTTCTATGTAGCTTTTTTAGTATAATGTTATCAAAATGTCACCATCACCAACTGATCTTCATCAACCCTGAAGCTGGTTATATTACATTTAACACCTGTTCTGAAACATTTTGCTTGTTGATCTGCTGAAATGTAGAAAGAGCAGTCAGCCAGACATAGTTCTTGTGGAGAAAGACACATGGTTCTCTGGGGAGGAACGCTGTTCACCAGTATGGCCTGTAGATCGGGAACAGAATGGACATATTAGTACCCAAAAGTTGCCGAAGATGATCCTGATCGCTACGAATATCAGCAAATCGGAAGTGGAGAGAGCTAAAGAAGCAGGATTTGAAGACACTGTGATAATGAAGCCCTTGAGAGCTAGCATGGTGGCTGCATGTCTTCAGCAAGTTCTTGGAACGGGAAGGAAGAAGTCACAAGGCAAAGGATCATCTAGTTACCTTCAGAGTCTACTGTGTGGCAAGAAGATTCTAGTGGTTGATGACAACAGAGTGAACCGGAGAGTTGCTGCTGGTGCATTGAAGAAGTTTGGGGCAAATGTAGAATGTGCCGATAGTGGCAAAGCTGCTCTTGAGTTGCTTCAAATACCGCATGGGTTCGATGCTTGCTTCATGGACATTCAGATGCCTGAAATGGATGGGTATATACACCTTTCACATCCCTTTCTTTTTCTAGGTTCAAATAGCATTAGCCTCTAACATATGCATTCCAGGTTTGAGGCAACACGACGGATAAGGCAGATGGAGAAGCAAGCGAATGAGCAGCTGGAAGCTGAAGGTTCGATAGCAGAAGAAGGGAAAGATGGTTGGCATTTACCGGTATTAGCCATGACGGCTGATGTGATACATGCGACGTATGACGAGTGCGTGAAAAGTGGGATGGATGGATATGTGTCGAAACCATTCGAGGAGCAGAATCTGTATCAGGCAGTTGCCAAGTTCTTCCAAGACAAGCCCATTTCTGGGTCATAATCAGTCAACCGAGAGCTGCAAAGAGGAGGAAGCGATTTTAGGTTTTGATGATTCTTTTGACGGGTAATGTCGATGTATTGCCTTGCTAACCGATTTCAGATTAGGCCTTGATATGTAGGAATACGTTGATCAATGTAGTGCAGGAAATGCTATGTCCACACCTTCTCATCTCATCTCATCTCATTTCCTCAGCTGTCATGTTTGTATAGCATCCTTGGAATGTGAGGGGGACTTGGACGCCCCCATCTAAAAACAAGACAAGGAAAAGTGTAAATCTTTTTGTCTCTGTTGATGTTCTTGTTAATGGGTTTTTGTTTGATACTACTTTTCATGTGCCTTTCGTAGACAATTTAGCAGATTTTGATGGCCAAATTTGTCTGTGAGGTACTTGGTTCTGGTGTTTTCTGCTTCTGCAGAATGCTAACCTGTGTTCTCTGCTTCTTCGTGTAAAACAGCAAAGACCCCATAACTCAAGAGCTCAAATGGCTACTAACCCAAACCTAATGTGTACAAAGATAACCCTAGTTGGGGACCTATGGATGTGATATTATAATCTTGACCACATGGTTCACCAAAATCAAATCAAAGGTTGATTCTTTTGAGAGATCTCGAGATAAGAAGAGTATCAGTATCATATATTTGAGAGAATAAATGTGCATTTTTCAACTAGAATAATGATGGCTGTTGTTCATATTTTATATGCAATTCTTTTGGTGCTAGTGGGAGAAGCATGCATGGGAGAGGACTGAGGAGACTTCTGTGGTCATATGCTGTGCAACACAAAACATTACCAGAAGCCAGCGCAACCATTCTTTCTTTCTTTTCTTCTTACCTCTAACAATAGAATAGAAATGGATGGTCCAATGATCTTCACATGATATCATGTTACTATTTCCCCTTTTATTCTCCTTCTCCTCCTTCTTTCTAATTAATTGAGCCATGTGCAAGCTCAATTTGATAGATTGTCACAGAATATTGATGTTTATATAAGTGCAACCCTTTTTTGAGTTTTCGATATGTAGAACATGTTACAAGAGTTTTTTATTTTGGTTTATTGTTGACTATGACACATATACCTTTCTTTAGTCGAAGTTTATATAGGCTTTACATCTTTGTCGATGTTAACCATCATATTGAAGTCACAAAGGTTCGAACATAAAGCTTGTTGATTACATATCTAGAGTTCCGAAACAATTAATCTGAACCAACTCTAGAGAGAAATCCAAAAATAAGTTTTTTTTTTGGATACCGGTGATATAGGTTTACTTTTTTGTAATTAAAGTACTATTTAAGAGATTCAAACTTGAGATCTCCAGATTCTAGACTATTCGCATTATCACTAAAAACTAAAAATAAGTTACAATTATGATTTTACGGCTGTTAATGTTATTGTTGGAAAAGTTGTAGCAAACTAGCAATGATTGTCGTAAGCATTATAGTTTGTTAATGCAGAAGGGCAAGTTGGAAGTTGGAACCGTTGAAGCTAGGTTTGTTATGCATAACAATATAAAATTGTACAGAATAAGAATCTGTCTAGTGAAAGTGTGCTGTATATGTATTATATACTTCTGCACAAGATATCAATAATAGCTTTTGAAATTCATGAAACAAAGATACTCTAATATGAACTTGTTCATTGCATATATTGATATCAATAGATATACATTGAATCTATTATTGGACATTTTATGGATGATAGAAAATTCTATTATTTCACCTAACATGGTTGTTAAGTTGTATGAGAAATGATCCAAGAAATATATCTAGGTTGTTTATATTGAAAAAATAGGATCCATCTCGCTTACTAATCTCACAAATATTTCTTACATCTCAAAGTTGTTCCAAAAGATCAAACCAAGCGAAAAATAAGGACTTCTCGTATTACAAGATGATGTGACCAAACAGTTGTGATGCACATCGGACACGAGGAAAAACAAAAGATGATATATTCGTGTCTCGCACACATCATGACTATTCAATTTTTATCAACTACTTAGCATATGTAATCACCTACTTACGCCTATCTGTTCAAAAGAGAGGATCCATCTCGTTTTACTAATCCATCTCTATGAACACTTGTTACAACTCAAAGTTGTTCCAGACGATGAAGCCAAGGGGCAAATATGGACTACTCGTATTACCAGATGATGTGACCAAACAATTGTAAAAGTGCGTAGAACATGAGGAAAGAAAAGAAAAGGATGGTGGTGCTATATTCATATCTCATACACACCGCAATCTTTTAATTTCTATCAATAATTTGACAGATATAAACACGTGCTTACGCCTATCCTACTCTATCCTATATATTTTGTAGATTATGGGCCGAGTTTTGTTTAATTATGGGGATTTGGGCCCGAACTCGAGTGGCTTGGGGTCTTGAACGGAGATACAGTCTTAGATGTCCATTCGTTCAATTTAAAGAGACCCGAACTCGGCTGATGGAGCCCGCTCAGATGGCACCGGCAAGGCCCGACCTGTCTGTTGCTTTTCTGCAGCCCAAGCCCGAAAGCCATGAAAGAATGTTTTGGCGAAAAAGCCTTTTTCATTTTAAGCCCAATAACAAAGAGTTGTTTCTTTATGGTTCTGAAGAGTAATTTTCCTCCAAACAAACCGCAGCTCAGCCGGAAGCCGGAAGCCAGTTGTGTACTTTCCCGCCGCCGCTTCAATCCTCTCTCCGACGTCAAGGTCAGCCCTAATCCCCGACGAGCTCCACTCTCTTATCTTCTATCTTGTATCCATTCCGTTGCTGATTTCTTCACTTTGTTTCTGTTCCCATCTTTCCCCTTTCCTAGGGTAACATTTGTGCAATTAGAATGCAATAGAAACTCACTGGAAACTGATTTGCGTTCTTCGCGAGAAGACTAGGGTTTTTGAGTAAGCGGGATTAATGCAATTTTTTGCTTCGCTTGTTTGAATTTGTCCCAAGTTTCAATTGGAAGGTCTGCTTGAACCTAGATATGTTTCATTGGTGAATTGAGTTTCAATTCCCATCTGATGTGGAGTTAGTTGCTTAGTTTTCCTTTATTATATTCAGAAGCAGAGCTAGGCCGAGAAGGAAGTAGGTGGAAATGGCGTTTAGAGGGAGGGAAATGATGAATAAAGTGCTGAGGAAAGTAGGAGGCAAGGATTTGCCGCCTGCAATCAAGGGAGCCCTGAAGAAAGCCATACCTGATCGAAAGGTGGTGATGGGCAGAGCTCAGCGCGGTCTGTTTGCTGGCAAACATATTCAATTCGGCAACCAGATCAGCGAAGATGGTGGAAACAAGTTCGTATTCTTTCTATCTTACTCCATATTGCTTCTGATCATCTTATGTGCATGTTTTTGGAATGTCTGTGTGTTTGCTTCTTCTTGCTTTAGTCCTTGCAAATCACTGAAGAAATAAAGAATCTTGTTCGGCGTTGAAATGATTATGATCTTTGCTTTTCATTCTAGGATGAGTGTGATATATACACAGTGATGGTAATTGTGTGTATCTGATTCTGAACGGCTATTCATTTGATATTGAAGTCATGTCAGCTTCAAACTATGCATTGTCCTTTTCTTTCTGGAAAAATATCCACCGTAAGGATACATACAACACATTCAAATAAGGATAGCTCCAATTATAGCAGATGCATGAACTACATGGAATTTGTTTATACCAGAGGCACCAGAAACCTGAAGGTAAGGATATGACATGATTGACATAAAAACAGAATCGTGTTAAGTATGGGCCAAGGACTTATGATTTTCTGTTCAAATCAACTAAAGGAAGTTAGGAGCTTTAGTCTAGTTCGATTTATGGTAGTTCAAGAGATTGACTTGATGATTTGCAATAGGAAAAGAGAATGGATTGTTTTATTGTAAAAGTTTCACCCCTCTGAAGTGTTCATTTGTGTGTGTGATGACGGTGACAGATCGAAGAGAAACTGGAAGCCGAATGTCCAAGAGAAGAGGCTATTCAGCTACATCCTCGACCGCCACATCCGAGTGAAGGTCACCACACATGCCATCCGTTGCATAGACAAGGCAGGAGGGATCGACGAGTATCTGCTCAAGACGCCGTATCAGAAGATGGACACAGAGATGGGACTCTTCTGGAAGGCCAAGATAGAGAAGAAGTACGAGGACCTCGGGAACTCGGATGTGGTCTTCTTCTCGCCCGAAGACGAGGAGAAGTTTGCACAGGGTTTCAGCGACATGAAGCTGTCTGAACGTGATGCTAGAAAGGAGTTCAGAAGGCAACTGTACTCCGAGTTTGCAAAGCAGAAGAAGGCCGCTGAAGGCAAAGCTCGCGTTAGTTACATACTGGCTACCTCGGACACAGCTCCTGGAAAGTTGATTGCCAACAGATGAAAGTGTCTTCCCAGGTTAGTGATGGTGACTAATGATGGATTTCCAAATGGATGGATTTGAGAAGTAGGTGGATTTGGGGAAATAAAATGAGTTTAGGGAACGACAGATTTTGGATTTCGATGAACTTTTGTGATGAATTGTACGTGGTGGATGACGTGTGAGCACGGTATGAGTAGTTGGTGAATTTTGATGGATATTCAGGCTCCACCACCATTGTGAAACAAGAGGTTATATCGGAAACGTCAGTGGTAGGGTATTTTGTATTAAAATTGTGGTTTAACTGTTTTTTGCTATTAATATCGCTTATTATTTTGAGTCCAATATCTAATATTTCTGATCCGACCCGTCGGTACGGTAGAGTTTCTACGAACATGAGACCTTGACTCATCCGGTCTCCCCATTCGGCCTGCAAAAACGCGTTCCCCATTTGACTATTCGCATCTCCAAATAACAACATCCTTTTCATGATCGAAAACCAGGAAAGGAAAAGGAAGGGAGCGAATGGTCGTTCACAAGTAAACTATAAACAAAGGAAATGGAAGTAGACAAAGAAATCAGACATTATTATCAGTAAAACCAAACTGTACAATTGGTTGCTAATGGTCATCGTTATGGCTCCGGTTACCGTTAAATTGACTGTTTTCATCGATTGATAGGCGATAGTAATACTATCGCATATTATGATCTTCAATTTTTGTTGAATCCAATTGTTTTTACTTCATTTTGGATATGGTGCTTGATTCTCTTTCGTCTAGTGCGTTATTTGGTAAGCACAATATTTTTTTTTTATAAGGATGATATATATTTAATCAAGAAAAACCAGTCCAAAGACTGGAAAAGCAGGAGTTACAAGAGACAAACCTATAAGAGTACCAACGCGAAGAACAACAAAAGAACTAGCAGAACGTGGCTAGAAAAAAGAAAACGAAGAAGAAGAAGAGAACAACCAGCAGCCCACCGAGTAACACCAGAAAGGAAAGGAAAGGAGACAAACAATACAAGATAACAAAAGGGCCCGGGATCGAACTCTGCAGGAGTGACAAGGTAGCAACAGATCCATGGAACGATCACCTTAAGAGTGATGAAGAAGGGAGGCTAGGGCTGGTAGGGAACACCCTTGATCGCAGTTCCCTAAGCCAACCCTCGGCAACCTCGCAGTCCACCTTCTTTGCAGCAGTCACCCAAGCTGACACAACACTTCCAATCTTAAACACAAGCAACCAAACACGGCAGACCTCTCCTCTGAAAATTCTGGTGTTTCTTTCCAACCAAATAAACCAGCAGAACGCGTGAAGAGCAACAATCGAGCACCATTGTGCAGGGCTCTCCGGTTTTGAAGTAGGCCACCGCTTAATTCTTTCTGTAACCTCAGTCGACTCATCGGCAAATGCATCGATCTTGATGAAGCATTTCAACATGTTCCAAACCTGCTTTGAGAACTCACAGATGATAAAAATATGGTTGGCTGACTCCTCCTGCTTCTTGCAAAGAATACACCGATTGGGAAGATGAAATCCTCTCTTCTTGAGGTTGTCTAATGTTAGGACTCTGTTATGGAACACCAACCATAAAAAGATACAGATCTTCGAAGGGATTAAACTCTGCCACACCATCTTTGACGGGAAGTTGCCGGAGCCCATGAATCGGGTTGTAGCGAGATGATTAGCGGCAGAACTGACACTGAATCTCCCAGAGGGTGCTGCAGACCAGTTTGGTCTTTCGGGACCTGCATTAAAATTCAAAGAAGTAATAGACTGAAGAAGGTTAAACAAACTCACTCTCTCTCTTTCGGCCCCACCCCGAAGAGAATAAATCAATGGAATATCCCATTGAAGGTTTCCCTCAGAAGGTTTCCCTCAGCAGCAACAAATTCTCTCGGAAATTTCTCTCCAAGCACACGCCAACAATCCAAGTGTCAAGCCAGAATGACATTTGACTACCACACCCCTGCTCAATGAAGGCTACCTTCCAAAATTCTCTCTTCAACTTCATAATACTGATCCACGGGCTGCCCCCAGTTCTGCCCTGAATGAGTCCAGGAAACCATTCGGAGTAAGGATTGGGAAACTTGACATCTATGATATTTCTCCACCAAGATCCTCTTTCTCTAGCAAATCTCCATTGCCATTTGAATAAGAGTGCCTTGTTATGTAACTCTAAATCTCTGATTCCCAAACCGCCTCGATCTTTTGCGGTCTTACATGATTCCCACGACGCAAGGTGAAACTTCTCCTTATCTTGATTGCCCGACCAAAGAAATTCCCTCTGAACCTTTTCTAAACAATTAATGATTTGTTTAGGAATAAGGAATAGGGAACTCACAAAAGTACTCTGACTTGCAAGAACCGCATTGATGAGTACCACCTTGCCGCGTATCGAAAGGAAACTTCCTTTCCAACCTTCCAGTCTAGTTTGAGTCCTTCTCACGAGCGAATTCCAATGCCTGATTGGTGGGGATTGACTACCCAATGGCACGCCCAGATAGGTTGTGAGTAGAAAATCCCAATCGCACCCAAACACTTCTACCAATCTGTCCATGTTGGCAACTTCACCGACGGGGAACAGTTTAGATTTCTCCAGATTAACCTGCAAGCCGGTGATCGCTTGAAAGCAGACTAACGCAGCTAGTATGTTGCGCACTTCCGATTCGCTTGCTTCACAGAACAAAATGGCATCATCAGCATAAAGTAAGTGAGTAACCTCTCCTCTACGTCTATCTTCATCAGCACAGAACCCCGAGATATGCCCTGCCGTCTTGATTTCACATAGAATGAATGAGAGAATATCCATACCAATATTGAAAAGAAGTGGTGAAAGCGAATAGCCTTGCTTAACCCCACGAGACATCCCAAAAAACCCGGTGGATTCCCCATTAATAAGTATGGACAGCTTAGACGAGGAGGTTAACCCCGCAATCCACTTCCTGAACTTCGAGTGTAGCCCCAATTGAGTCAGGGCTTTGCAAATACAATCCCGGTTGATGGAATCGAAGGCCTTTTCTATGTCCAACTTAATCACTATCCCTGGCTTTCCGCTTCTTCTTCGACTATCAATAAATTCATTGGCAATGAGGCAAGACTCAGGAATAACTCTACCTCTTTTTCCAGCGAACTGAAAATCAGAGACGATAGGGTTCACAAGGGGTTGAAGCCGATTAAACAATACCTTAGAGATGATTTTGTTCAAGCTTCCCAGCAGACTGATCGGCCGGAAATTGATTCCACTGAACGTGATCTAATCTTGGACATTGCATTGTCTAGATGTGGTTATTTTAAGGTGAAATATTGCAAAAATTGTGGATTCCCTGCTATCCCCTTTTATTTCACTTAAAATTGACAAACAAATAATGGATGATTCCACATTCCATCTGCCCTTGAAATGTAGGTCTATCCAATTTTTCCCTAATTTAATAATGGAATGTAGGTCCAATTTCATGGATCATCCAAACTGTCCATAAGATAACAAACAAATTGACATTATTGAAGATAGAAAATGTCATTGTGGAAAAAAAAGTTGTCAATGCAAATAAACAAGAGTGAAATGTTTAAACTATTTCCCCCAAGTAGCACATATGATATCTCACCACTTCTTCACCAAAATGGAATCTTCATCCCAGTTTCTTTGCATCATGTCCTCACTAAATCTCACTAGCAATCGCTGTATTATTTTCGATCGTCATTCTAAATTCTCGTTATAGATTGATTTCAATCTCATCATACGTAATTGTTCTCAATTGAGACGCAACATTACAATTTTTTGTTGGTAGAATTACCACAAATAACTCTTTCCTCTATATCGTTTAAGGAATTGATAAATCGTAACCTCCTCCTTGAATCCTTTCTTCAAACATTGCTACGATGGTTAGCAATCTGTCCCCCATCGTTTGCAACTTAATGCACTAACTCCAGTCTTTTTACACATGACAGTAATGAACTTCCTTGTACGCAAAATTAACAAATCCGTATTTACCTTGTTGCCACCACCAGCATACTCCTTGTGAGAGCATATTCTAATTGTTTTTCGAAATCGGGAGAAAATTAACATGATATACTTGTTGTTTGTACCTTTAGCTTGGTTTCATGGAATCTCACCAAATGCCATCATCGATAATTCTTAAGCATCATTTTTAAGAAATGGTTTTGAGTTTACCCAGTCCAAGCAAAACCAAAACGTCAAAAAATACTAAAGTGAAAAAGGGTCAATTTAGTAATTTGAAGCAACAAAAAAAAAAAAAAAAGAAAGTAAAATCACAAGTAACGGCTTCAACCTTTGACCTTTTCTCTTTTCAGACGGGAGAACAGAGGACTTTGAAATTCCAGCCAGTCTGCCATGGCAGCCGTTGCCCACGACTTTAAGGGAAGGTTCTTTGTCCACTTCCTTCTGTCATTATTCTTCTTCCCCATTAAACCCACACAAATCACTACTTAATTAATTACGCTGCAAACATTACGATGTGATAGCCACTCCAGTACAAATATGATTTCTTTATTCAACAAGTAAAACAATCGAAGAAAGCAAAAGAAGGGAGAACCATTTGGCGGAATCCCATTTCCATTTTCAATGCCAGGAACAGGGGCAACTCCTTCTTCTTCTTCTTCCTTTTGATTAACAATAATTAGGAAACCTTTTGCTTTTACCATCTATTCCTCCACCCACCCAGATTCCCTTCTCTTCTCCACTCTCTCTCTTTCTCTCAGATAGAAAGCGAAATTCTGAGGATGTCTGGTGGTGGAGGAGACAGAGATCATCCTCATCCAGAACCCCAAGAAGATAACAGTAACAGTATTGGCAACGGGGGATTACACTCTTCTTCTTCTCGCCACAAGATCGACACCCTCAGGGATTCAAAGATGGCGGAGGCGGCCGCAGCAGCGGTTGCGAGGCCTCAAGAGCTCACTCTGAGCTATATGTGTGACAACAATCAGCCCAAGCTGGGTCTGGGGTTTGGCCAAAAGGGGAAAGAAGTCGTCTTCTCTGCAGATGGGTGTTCGGATCTTCATCAGGAGAAGTGGGTCGAGAGGGATTTCTTGAATCTCAGCGAGACCAAGTCCAATTCCTCCTCCAAGAGAAATTCGCGCGATGAGGATGCAGAGGAGGAGGAAGAGGCCGGGATGGAGATTGAGAAGAAGGAGAAGGTGAAGGAGAAGAAGAAGCCCAAGCTTGAAGGGAGTCTTAACTTGTCTTTAGCTCTCCCTGACGTTTCTCTCTCGTTGACTGCTGCTGCTGCTTCCAACGCTCTGCAAAATGGGGTCAAACCGAAGCCTGTTGCGGGTTTTGTCGCTTCTGCTTCTGTAGCTCCTGCGCCTTCATTCAACAATACTCAGACGACTTGCTCGGATGATTTCACGGCTCCTTATTCGCTTTCCTGCTCATTTTCGCATGCTTTCTCCCACAACCCAAGTTGCTCCATGACCCGTAATTCTACTGAGAATTATGATTACTCTGTTGGGAGAGACGACCCGATTTGGTGTGGTGGGGAAGGAACTAATGGCTCTGTTCACAGCAGGTTTAGGCCCATTGGGGAAGGAATTCTTGCTCTCCACAACAACAACAATGGAGGAATTAATGGGGGATTTGGTATGCTGCAAGGTAATCGTGTGTCAAACAAGGAATCCTGCATTAACAATAGTGTTGGTAGAGCTACTAGTTCTGATAACATTTCGTTTTTTCCATCGGAATTGCCGGCTAGGCCACGTATGGATACTTATCCGGCCGATTTCAGGAAGAGAGAATCTGAGAATATGAGAGGTTTGGAGGATGGAGATGGTGGTGGTGGAGGGAGAGGTAGGAATCAGTTGTCCAGACCAGAGAGAATTGTGCGTGAGATTGTGTCGGAGTCTGTTCCTGTGATGGCTCAAATCATTCAGGAACTTACTCAAGAGATGTTGAATTCGATTAAGGACTATGTCAAAAGTCTAGTTTCAATGGCCGACAAGAGAGAGGAGTTAATAAGCCTTCAGAGCCGTTTGGGTAGAAGGTCTGATCTAACCAAGGAATCACTTTTGAAGTGCCAAAAGGACCAACTAGAGATATTGGTTGCAGTGAAAATGGGACTGGCGAGTTCTGTGTCGGGGAAAGTTCGTCTTGCTACGACTGAGCTGATAGAGATGTTCTTGTTTGTTAGGTGTAGGAATGTGAACTGCAAGAGTATATTGCCTGTCGAAGACTGTGAGTGCAAGTTTTGTTCGGCCAACAACGGGTTCTGTAGCTCTTGCATGTGCCCTGTGTGTATGAAGTTTGATTGCGCGAGCAATACTTGTAGTTGGGTTGGTTGTGATGTTTGTTCACATTGGTGCCATGCTGCCTGTGGAATACAGAAGAATCTAATCAGGCCAGGGCCTAGCTTGAAGGGTCCACCGGGTACTAATGAGATTCAGTTTCATTGTATTGCATGCAATCATGCGTCCGAGATGTTTGGGTTTGTGAAAGATGTATTCACTTGCTGTGCTAAGGATTGGGGATTTGAAACTCTGTTGAAGGAGCTTGATTGTGTGAGGAAGATTTTCAAGGGGAGTGATGATTTTAAAGGGAAAGAATTGCATACCAAAGCTGATGGGCTGATCTCCAAGCTTGAAAGCAAACTTATATCTCCTTCAGATGCTTGCCACATCATTCTCAAGTTCTTTGACTGTAAGTATCCCTTGGTTATAACTTTTTCAGTTTGCCACACAGTAAGATACATTTGTTTGAGAACTTAATTCTTTAGATGTCTGGCTCATCGATTCTTTGTTTATATTATTCGTTACTATGTGTTAACGTCAGAGCATGTTACCTTCATAGCTTGTCCTTTAGAACACCAAGTATCAGCTGATGATAAATTGCTGGACTTAGAATTGACTTGGTTAAAGTTCATCCAGCTCAACAATGCTGGATAGCTTTCATTCTTTTTAACCTGGCTTTGTGGTTGGAACTTGGAAGATTGGTTGTTCCAACTGAGTCTACTAGGGGTCATAGAAGATAAGAGTGTTGATTATCTTGTTACTTGCAACTGATGTAATCCCTCGGAGTTTTGCAAACTTTTAGCTCTTCCATTTTTTGTTGGAATTTAGCAATGGTTTGCCCATGTCGCAAGAAACATAGCTCAACATAAGGGAGTAGTGATTAGGGCTTTGCTTGCTGTGTGTGAGATATGTGGACAGGCTTGGCACCATTTTTGTTGGGAATTACCTCTGCACTTACGTAAGTTGGTTTCTTTGTTTCACCAACTGTTTCAAAGGATTAACTTATGCACTCTGAATTGGCTGGCTTCTTTAAGTAAGGCGAAGCTCACTTATTCCAGGAAATTCAATAAATATACCGAGTTCAGAACTCTGCAGCCATTTTTGTAGTCGAGTTAGTACAATTTCAACTGCCTTGTTCTTGTGTGACATTCATGATTCATCAACTCTCGTCTATATAGACTTTCCTTTTCCATACTCCCGTTTGTTAGCAACCATATTTGTGAACTACTCTGAACTTTGCTCCTATGAATTTTTAGATGCAGATCGCCTACCAGATTTCCCAGCAGGACCCTCTGCCAAAGAAATGATGCCTCGTAATACCGAATCCAGCTTTAGAAAAGAAGCAGCAACACCAATTCCTCAACACTCTTCTCTCCCTCCCAGATATGCCACTTACAACAACAACAACATTAACAATTCCAACAACGACACAAACAACAGTGTATCGGGTTCTTCAACTGGCCGACTGGGCAATGAACTACTGAAAACTGCCCTACTGCGCGGTGACCTGAAGATTGAAGATGAGTATCGCCTAGCAGCAAGGAAAGATGGGTTTGAGAGCTTGGAGACCATTGTCAGGATCAAAGAAGCTGAATCCAGGATGTTCCAGAGCAAGGCCGATGAGGCGAGGAGAGAAGCTGAAGGCTTGAGGCGGATGATTCAGATGAGGACGGAGAAGTTCGAGGATGAGTATGAGCACAAGCTCTCGAAACTTAGCCTGCAAGAGACCAATGAAAAGAGGAAGAAGAAGCTGGATGAGCTTAAGAAATTGGAGAACTCGCACTGTGATTACTACAACATGAAGATGAGAATGCAGGCCGAGATTGCTGGGTTGCTGGCGAAAATGGAAGCTACAAAACAGCAGTGGGTTTAGCAGCAATGGCTTTATTTGTTGTCGTTAGTTGTTATTTTTTTCCTCTTCTCCCTTGGTTTAGGGCTTGGGTTCTTCTTTTTGGCTCAAAGATGGGTGCTTTGTTTTCATTTGGGGTTGTTTTGTGAAATTTGCCAATAGCCACACCAAGTTTGGTACATTGTGTAGTTGTGAAATTGAAGTCAGTCTAAACTAACATATTGTTGCCAATGTATGAGGCTGTGTGTATAGGAACAATGATGGAAATTGACGAAAAGCCGGATTCGAAGTAAAACCGCATCAACATTCACAAATGTCAAGCTTGATGAATCCAGTATAGACAGGCAAATGACGTTTGGTGGCCTACTAAATGAGCAAAGCGAATGGCGAACATCTCAGAAGATGACATCTGATTCCAAGTTAGACCAAGGGGGAAACTTACAGATATGTCTCTGTTTCCTAGAAAAAGGGGGAAAAGAACAGAACTTCAATGCCAGAAGGAAAGGGCCAACACTCTTCCAATTCGATGGACCGAGCTCAGACATTCTTCTTCGTCCTGCTCTCTTTTGATTAACAATTAATTAGAGACACCTTTTACTATCTATTCTCCCACCCACCCAGATTCCCTCTCCACTCGCTCAGCAGGAAAGAGAAATTCTGACCCATGTCTGGTGGAGACAAAGATCATCCAGATCTAGCAACCCAGGCAGACGACGTCAGCAACAGCAATAGCCACGGGGGCTCACAGTCTTCTCCGCTCAACAAGATTGCTTCCTCCAGGAGTTCAGAGATGGCGGCAGCCGCAGCTCCGGCGGCGGCGTCATCAAAACCTCAAGAGCTCACCCTGAGCTACCTCTGCGAGCAAAATCAGTCCAAGCTGGGTCTGGGTTTTGACGAAAAGGGGAAAGAAGCTATCTTCTCCGCAGAAGCCAACAGCAACGGTGGCTCACCCTCGTCTCCGCTCAACAAGATCGATTCCCTCAAGGATTCAAACATGGCAGCGGGGACGGTAGAAAAGCCGCCGCAAGAGCTCACTCTAAGTTACCTCTGTGATAACAATCAGCCCAAGTTGGGTCTGGGTTTCGGTGAAAAGGGGAAAGAAGTCGTCTTTTCTAAAGGTGGTTGTTCGGATCGTCATCAGGAGAAGTGGGTCGAGAGGGATTTCTTGAATCTCAGCGAGACCGAGTTCAATTCCTGCAAGAGAAACTCCCACGATGCTGATGAGGAGGCGGCGGAAGGAGAAGATGAAGCTGGGATGGAGAAGAAGAAGATTAAGAAGCCCAAGCTTGAAGGGAGCCTTAACTTGTCTTTAGCTCTCCCTGACGTTTCTCTCTCGTTGCCTGCTTCCAATGCTCTTCTGCAAATTGGGGTCAAAGCGAAGCCTGTGGGCTTAGTAGCTCCTGCTTCTGTAGCGCCAGCGCCTTCAAATAACAACACTCAGACGACGTGTTCTGATGATTTCACAGCTCCTTGTTCACTTTCCTGCTCCTTTTCGCATGCCTTCTCCCACAACCCAAGCTGCTCCATGACCCGTAACTCCACTGAGAATTATAGAGATGACCCAATTTGGTGTGGTGGGGAAGGAACTAATGGCTCTGTTCACAGCAGGTTTAGGCCTATTGGAGATGGGATTGTTGCTCTCCACAGTAACAATGAAGGAATTAATGGGGGATTTGGTGTGCTGCAAGGTAATCGTGTTTCAAACAAGGATTCCTGCAATAACGATAGTGTCTGTAGAGCTACTAGTTCTGATAATATTTCGTTTTACCCATCGGTATTGCCTGCTAGGCCACGTATGGATACGTATTCTGGCGATTCCAGGAAGAAAGATTCTGGGAATCTGAGAGGTTTAGAAGATGGAGATGGTGGTGGGAGAGGTAGAAAACAGTTGTCTAGGCCAGAGAGAATCGTGCGTGAGATTGTTTCAGAGTCTATTCCTGTCATGGCTCAAATCATCCAGGAACTTACTCAAGAGATGTTGAATTCAATTAGGGACTATGTGAAAGATCTTGTTTCAGTGGCTGACAAGAGAGAAGAGTTAGTAACCCTTCAGAACCGTTTGAATAGAAGGTCTGATCTAACCAAGGAGTCACTTTTGAAATGTCAAAGGAACCAACTAGAGATATTGGTTGCAGTGAGAATGGGACTGGTGAGCTTTATGACTGGGAAACTCCGTCTAGCTACCACCGAACTTATAGAGATGTTCTTGTTTGTTAGGTGTAGGAATGTGAACTGCAAGAGTATATTGCCTGTTGAAGACTGTGACTGTAAGTTTTGCTCGGCAGATAACGGGTTCTGTAGCTCGTGCATGTGTGCAGTTTGCATGAAGTTTGACTGTGCAAGCAATACTTGTAGTTGGGTGGGTTGTGATGTTTGCTCACATTGGTGCCATGCTGCCTGTGGAGTACAGAAGAATCTAGTCAGGCCAGGACCTAGCTTGAAGGGTCCACCAGGGACTAGTGAGATTCAGTTTCACTGTATTGCATGCAATCATGCTTCCGAGATGTTTGGGTTTGTCAAAGACGTATTCACTTGCTGTGCTAAGGATTGGGGGTTTGAAACTCTGTTGAAGGAGCTTGATTGCGTGAGGAAGATTTTCAGGGGGAGCGATGATTTTAAAGGGAAAGAATTGCACACCAAAGCTGACGGGTTGATCTCCAAGCTTGAAAGCAAACTTATATCTCCTTCAGATGCTTGCCACATCATTCTCAAGTTCTTCAACTGTAAGTGTGACTGGGTTATAAACTTCTACTTACGCCACACATTAAGTATATTGTTTGAGAACTTATTCTGTAGATCTCCGGCTCATTGTTCCTTAGTTTATTTCTTGTCATAAATCACTCATTAATCATTATGGTGTGTTGAGCCCTAAACTTAAGGTCATGTCCTTCAGAACACCAAGTATCAGCTAAAGATAAATGACTGGACTTCTATACGTCATCCTGGAGTTTGAATAAACATAGTTAAAATTCACTCAGCCCAAATATGCCGTGATACCCTTTAATTGTTTGATATTCATCCTTTGTTCTTGAAGTTGGGTTATTCTAACCGAGTTCACTAGAGACCATAGAATACGAGAATGGTTGAGTATGTTGTCACTTGCTGATTTCATCCCTCTGAGCGAACTTTTAGCCCTTCCATTTTTGGTGGACTTTTTGCTATCAGGTTTGCCCATCTGGCAAGAAACATACCTCAATATTAGATAGTTGTTATTAGGGGTGTGCTTGCTGTGTCTGAGATGCTGGAGCAGGTTTGGTACCTTATTGTTGGAAATGACCTCTCGAGTTATGCAAGTTGGTGCTTTTTTCTCTAACTGCTGTATAAGTTGGAAACTCACTTATACCCAAGGCATTCAAAAATATACCAAGTTTAGAACTCTCCCTTCATTTCAGTAGCCTGGTTAGTATAATTTCACCTGCCTTGTTCTTGCATGTCATTCATCTACTCTCCCCTACATGTATCTTCCTTTTCTATGCTTCTGTTTGTCAGCAACCATATATGTCAAGTTCTCTGAACTTTGCTCCTATGAATAATTAGATGCAGATCGCCTACTGGGTTTCCCTGCCGGTCCCTCTGTCAAAGAAATGATGCCCCGTAATACTGAATCCAGCATTAGAAAAGAATCAGCAACACCAATTCCACAATACGGTTCTCTCCCTCCAAGATATGCTGTTTACAACAACAACAATAATTCCAATGACGACACAAACAACAGTGTCTCGGGTTCTTCAACTGGCCGACTTGGCAATGAACAACTGAAAACTGCCCTACTGATGGGTGACATGAAGATGGAAGATTCTTATCGTCTATCAGCAAGGAAAGATGCGATTGAGAGCTTGGAGAGCATTGTGAGGATGAAAGAAGCCGAGTCCAGGATGTTCCAGAGCAAGGCGGATGAGGCGAGGCGAGAAGCTGACGGGTTGAGGCGAATAATTCAGTTCAGGACAGAGAAGTTCGAGGATGAGTATGCTCACAAGCTATCAAGACTGTGCCTGCAAGATACCGAGGAAAGGAGGAGGAAGAAGCTGGACGAGCTCAAGAAATTGGAGAGCTCACAGTGTGAGTACCACAGCATGAAGTTGAGAATGCAGGCTGAGATTGCTGGGTTGCTGAAGAGAATGGAAGCTACAAAACAGCAGTGGGTTTAGCAGCAACGATGGTGTTTATCTGTTGTTGTTAGTTCTAACTTCTAACGTTTAGTTTTGCTGGTTTAGAAGTTGAGTTGTTTTATTTTTAGCTCAAAGATGGGTGTTTTTTTTGTTGGTTTTGTTTTTCGGGAGTTTTGTGAGATTTGCCAATTGCCCAACCAAGTTTGGTATGTTTGTGTAGTTATGTAACGGGTTAATTGGTTAAAAAAAGATCAAAATTAGACCTATTTTTATACGGTCATTGATAGAGATGAAATATCTCCACCACTTCAGTACAGACCAACAACTCTATCTCTCCACTCTCCTATTCTGTTCTTTAGTTTTAGCAATCATCTGTGTAGGATTTGCCCTTCTGTTATATCTACTGTTGTATATAAACATATATTCAATAAAGAGCAACTCGGGTTTTCTGAGACAGTACTTTCATGGTACTAGAGCCTCAAATCCTCTAACGAGGTACTCTATTTTCTTTTCTTTCTTCCTGGCCTCGAGTTCAACGGTGGCCTCAAATCCTTTGCCATCACCGACATCCCCCACAGATTCTCAGCTTTGTATCACCTTTCTCTTCTTCTCAATGTCTCTGTCTTCTTACCTTCACCTCTGTTCTTTTTTTTTTTTTGCTTTTCCTCCTCTACTTTGATTATGCAAAATGACGACTTCCACCATTACACCATCCTTTGCTGCTCTGTTTACTGCTGACAAAGCTGGTGGCTTCCGCGCAGCTCAAGCTAAGCTGCTTTTGCTTCTTCTTCTTGTTGACCTTAGCTATCTTGTTCCTTCCCTCCAACTATTAGATCAGCAAACCAAAACCCTTCAAAAGCTTCCAATTCCCCAACCCAAAAATATCCGATAATGATTACTTCTTCTTCTGCGTCTTCTTCCTAATTACATTCTACTCCTTGCCCTTTGAAAGAGCACAGATCTAGGTGTGCGATTGGGGATCGTGATTGATATGAGGAATTTGGGTGAGGTAGAATTTGGGAATTAGGGTTGAGAGAAGAGGATTCCGGTCACCGGGGTGGTGGCCGACGGGTTGGAGAGGGAGAGGGGAGGCTCGACAATGAGAGAGAGAGAGAGAGAGAGAGAGAGAGAGAGAGAGAGAGAGAGAGAGAGAGAGAGAGAGAGAGAGAGAGAGAGAGAGAGAGAGAGTAGGGAAATACTTCTGTTGTTATTGCTTACCCTAACATAGGTCTAACACAGAATATATATAATCCGACTAATTCCCTATAGATACCCAAAGAATTAACCTAACCGATTTAACCCCAATTAATCCCGAAATAACCAACATAACATAAAACGTCTAAATAACAAATAAACCCCCAATTAATAACCGTCTGACATTCCATCCCCCTTGAAACCCACCTTGCCCTCAAGGTGGACCTTCTTTCTTCTCTTCCTTCTTCTCTTCCGCTTCGCGCGCCTCCACCTTCTCTCCTTCATCTTCCCAGTTTCCCACCAGCAGCATTAGATGACCCTTGGCGCATTGGTGCCCCACCGTGTATCTTTCGTCGCAGTTGAAGCAACGACCGTCTCTGCGCTTCTGGTCCATTTCCGCCTGAGTCAGCCGGACAAACCCCTTTGGTGGCAGCCTTGAGTGGAATCTGTTTCCCGATGCTGCTCCAGTGACCGCCGGGCTTGCATTTCCCGACGGCGGTGAGGTACCAGCTCCTGCTCCCATTCCTCCACTGGCTTTCTGGATACGCCCAACCGACGTCCTCCAACTAGCCAACTCCTCTTCCTTGCGCCCTGCAATCCTGAAAGCAACTCGAAGAGAGACAGGTTCGAAAACCTTAACGGCGGTTGCCAGCTCAGGACGGAGTCCTGCCATACACAGCCCCACTAGAGTCTCCTCCGTCATTTCCTTACGGCTTACACTGGTTTCCCATCTTAAGGAACTCCGCGCGATACTCAGCCACCGACCCTGTCTGTCTGGAACTGAATCATTTCCTTGTATCTAAGAAGAACTTCCAGATTAATAGGAAGGAAGCTTAATCGGAATGAATCGGAAATTTTCTTCTATGATCGATCGGTATAAACATCAACAACTCCGAGCCAATTCCAATAGACTTATTGGAGGGTCCCATTGGCGTGCATCCAGTAGGAGTTGAACCTACGAATTCGCCAATTATGAGTTGGGCGAGCTTGGCCAGCTGTTCCGGAGCCCACCCCTCCGCCTTGCCAAACTGATAGCACAGCTCATCCTGGAATCTGGGCCAAGATATGATCTCACCTGCCGCCGCATAAGCTCTCTCGGTCCATTCCCACCACTGGAGGGCATCTCCCTCAAGATAGAAGAACGTCAGGTGCGTCTTCCGCTCTTCTCGGATCAGGTGGTTTCTGAACCACCTCTCAGCTTCATACAACCATAAACCCACATCTCCCGAGCCGTCGAACTTGGGAAACTCTATCACTGCGGTTTAGCTCTGAATACTAATTCCTCTTCAATCTCATACAGAGGGTTACTGTATTCATACCTGTCCGTGTTCGGTGGGGGTGGTCGAGTCATCGGGCCAGGATGGTAGTAGCTGCCCGCGGCTCGCTGCTGGGGAGGATAGGGCGAGTTGCCCGTCACCTCCTGATGGTTCCCACCGTACTCTAGCTTGGTCCTCGACCCCTACCCAATATCCCGACAGCCTCGACCTCGACCTCCCACTGCTCGTGGAGTACTCCACGGGGGTACCCGTGCTCTTGGCCCCGGCCAGGCCCATTCCAGCTGTCGTCCGCCGGCGGTTGACCCGAACCGGTTGGCCGCCCAATGACCGGTCCGGTTCGACCCGTTTTTTGACCCACAATCCAGCCCCATCTTGCATCCTCTGGGCTCGGATCCACCCAGCCCTCCGGGTCTCCAAAACTTAGCTCATCCTCCTCCCCGGCCCAATCGGCCAGGGTTCTTCTCTGTCAGGCCCAGTTGGCCACGACTAGGGCTGACAAACGGTAATACGGTAACCGGTTTACCGTTTTACCGAACCGGTAACGGTCGGTAAACGGTAAACCGGTTACCGTCGGTATCGGTATTCGGTGGCGACGGTGAGGATCCAATTTACCGGATACGGGGTCGGTATTTACCGTCGGTAAATCGGTAAATACCGAATAAGGAAGGTGGAGCAGAAGTGGGCAAATATGAGAAAAACTAGTGAACCTACTACCACCAATTTGAATTACAAACAGAGGAACAGAAGCAAAAAGAAGAAGCAGGAGTTAGGTCACCCAATTCGTCAATGGACCTTCGCCTTCTTGGCTGGTCGGAAGTTCCTTCCGTCGTTGTATGGCTGGCTGGGAATTCCCTCCGTCGTCGCGAATCAAAGGGTCACCATCGCAGCCCAACTATCAATCGTCCTCCGCCGTCTAGAATCGAGGGTCACCAGCACAGTTATTGTTTACATTGACCTTCCCCGAAGTGAATCGACGATCATCAACCCACTTTTGTTTCTTCCTCTGATCGTAAAAACAAAAGGGAATAGGCCTTCATCTTGCTCTCTGCCGGGTCGGAGAGGGGAGAGAGATCAAAGCTCCTGTTTGTGGATTTTCTGTTCAATTTTGAGATTTGAGAGAGAAAATTATACATGCATAGAGAAAATAGCTGTGGAGATATTCAGAAGAAACAAACAAAAGAACAGAGCTCTTCTGGGTTGGAGACGGAGAGGGGCAGAGCCAGAGTGGGGAGAGAGAGATTAATATGTATATTGGTGGTGGCGTTAGGCAAATAATACGTAGAGAGGAAGTTAGATAAAAAAGAATAAGATAAGTGAAAATGAAATATAAATGATTAATTTTTATTTAGAGATAAATGATTAATTTTTTTCTAAAGTACAGTATTTTCTGCAGGTAATTCTCCATTCTTTAGAAGGATCCAATCACCAAATTTGTTCCCCCTTGCGGTAATTCGGTAAACCGGTTTGTAACCGGTTTACCGGTAATTCGGTAATCGGTAAACCGGTTACAAACCGGTATCGGTAAACAGTTTTGGCCAGTTCGGTATACCGAAACCGGTAAATTCGGTAACCAATTTACCGTTTACCGACCGATTCCCACCCCTAGCCACGACTCTCCTTCGTACCCCGCGATCTTCTGCTTCCCACGGGCCTTGTCATGGGCCGGATCCGTCGACGTCGGCAGCAATCCAGGCCCGCTGAACGCAGGCGCGGGTACGCTCCTCGAGCCCAAGGTTCCTGGCTCCCCGGCTCGGCTGCGCGGCACGACCAAACTCCCCGGCGCCCCGCCCGTCGCGGCCAAGACCCGCGTCGCCCCCGCCTCGTCATCGCCGACCATCGGCTTCTCCTCCGCCGCCTCCTCCTCCCAGCGCGCCACCATCCCGGTCCGCCCAGCGCCCGCGCCATGGCGCGGCGGCTCCGCCTTGCTCGAGGTCGTCGTGCCGTCGCCCTCCTGAGCCGCCAAGCCCGTCGCAGCTGCTGCAGCCCCCCCCCCCCCCCCCCCCCCCCCCACGGCTGCTGCTGTCGGCGCCGCTCCCATGGCCGGGATCGCCAACGGCTCCCGCCTCTTAAGGACTTGGGTTAGCACCTCCTGCATCGTCGCTGCCAGGGCTCCGCAGATGTTTTCAGCCACACTCTTGCCCATCTCTTCAATGGAAGCCTTGATCTGGTCGCCCATGGCTTCGATTGCTCCGATCGAGCCCTTCGAGGCCTCTGCTGCCCTCACAGTAACCTCTATCAGGCTCTCCAAAGATACTGCCAGCGCGTCATACTTGTTTGTCGTCACATCCTTGACTGTCGCCACCTCCTTGTGCTGGCGCGACGGTTGCTATTTGTCCGCAGGATTCGACATCTTCAGACTGCAGTATTTTTGTTTAGAGAATCGGCACACCAACTAGGCTCTGATACCACTGAAAGAGCACGGATCTAGGTGTGCGATTGGGGATCGTGATTGATATGAGAATTAATTGATATGAGAATTAGGGATTTGGGTGAGGTAGAATTTGGGAATTAGGGTTGAGAGAAGAGGATTCCGGTCAACGGGGTGGTGGCCGACGAGTTGGAGAGGGA